TTGCCACATTTGCTTATGCACCCATTTGTCTTCAGTGATCCGTTCGACACCCCGTGATCACACAGGTTGATATGTTGTTCCGTGTGGGCTTTGTTGCTTCTGAGCTAGATGGCTGCTTGTTTACCAAGTGTGCCTTTTTAATCGTGGAGTAAGCTGAGGGAGGGAAGAAGCTGACATTTAATGGCAGGCTCTCCGGTGCCCACGGCTCTGCTGAAGACTGTTCGTTATTGCCACATTTCATCAGTTTGTTGGCCTTATTAGCGGGAATATAATTAATACCTTATTTAGCATCCTTAGGGAGAAAAAGAGAACCCAATGTGTTCAGAGTCCTACAGTTAACAGACTGACTTTTAATCTGAGCCCGTGTATTCCATATCATCCTCAAAGATGAGTGAGCAAACGGATACAAGGGGGCGTCAAGAAGCTATTAGAAAAATGGAATTTTTCCATGACATTTTTGAAGCCTCCTTTTGTATTGTGGGAAGTGGTTTGAATGGAAGTATGGACAGGATGCTGTCGGGATCCCTAATCTGCTTGAGAGTTTCTGAAAACTCTACAGAGAGAGGCACTCAGAACTGGTCTTGAATGAATGTAAGCTCCTTGAGGGCAGGGACTTTGCCTGTTTTACTTCTCCTTAATTGGTCCCTGGCACATGATAGGTGCTTTATTAATATTTTACTCAGTCATTGAATGAAAAGTAAATCCCAGGCAGAGTCGAGAGCAGGTATAAAAAGGTAGAGCTGTGGAATGTTTTAGTGACACATGCTAAGTCAGTAACATTGTCTTAACAAGCCATGTACAGCTTTTTGGTTTTATCCATGGACTTTGCTTTCTGTTGTGTAAAAAAAGAACTCATCTTGAGCAATGTTGAGAAGAAAATGAAGTAGGCAAATCTTTGTCTTGCTTTCTTCATGAAATGATCTAAGACTGATAAAAGAGAGTTTGAAGTTGTCCCTTTACTTCCGATTCCTTAGAAGAAGTACACATGTCAGTCTTACATGAGAAATCTGTCTCCTTTTCTCTTTTTCTTTCAGTGACACTGGCACACTAGCTCCAGAAAAATGCTTGTTTGGGGCCATGTTGAATGTCACAGCAGTTTTATGTAAGTCATGAGAGCGACTTTAAGATTCAAAGTCATAGCTAAGTTGCTGCTTTCCTTTTTAAAGAGTTTCATGCTATGCCTTTTACTTTTTAGTTGTACTTCCGGAAATACCATCATTAAATTATTGATCACAGATACACTACTTTACAAATAAAAAAGCAATTTATAGAAATCAAATTGTGGTAGTATACCCTTTAAAAATGCCCACAGGACTGTTGAGCTGTTAATCCAAACAGAGGATGTAAAGTACAGGCATGTCTTGTTTCGTTGTGCTTTGCTTAATTGCCCTTCACAGCTACTGTGTTTTTTGATCTTCACCTCAAATTCAACTCAAGCAAGCCTATTGACATTATTTTTCTGCGTCACATTTTGATAATTCTCACTATATTTCAAACTTGTTTATAATGTTATTGCACACTTAATAGACTAAAGTATAATGAAAACATAACTTTCTATGCACTGGGGAACCAAAAGACGTGTGTGACTACCTTTATCGTGCTATCTGTATTATTGTAGTACTCTGAAACCCAGCCCCCAGTGTCTCAGGGTATGCCTCTGTAAACAAATATCCCTCAAGGCCGTAAGTCAGCTTCTTTTACAGCCAGTAGGGGGAAAGAGGTGTAGATGCAACTGACCACAACTAACCCGAACTAAATTCTGTTAGGATAAACAATGTAGAAGTTTGGGAATAGATGGAAACATGTTTAGATGTCTGAGTAAATACACTAGCTTCAAAGGCATGGAGTTCCTTTTAATTCCTGTGTAGTCTTTAGCTTTTGAATTTTTTATTACTGATTTATTCAGATGTTCATCCCATTATGCACTGGGGTCCAAAGTGGATGTGAGGAAAATGACTGCAGGACGTTTGTGTTAAAATCAACTGCTCATAAGCATGACTGGTACCTAAAGTAAGGTGGTCTTAGCAGCTTTTCTGCACTCATGGGTCCTTTGGCAGTGTTTCTGCATTGGGAAGTTCACTTTGGCCCTTACTGGACGAGTAAGACAGTAAACTAACAAAATAAAGCCCACTGGAATGAGTGGAGCCTGTCTGCGGGACAGAATCAAACTACCCACGTGGCTTTCCGAGACCGTCTTCCTTTCTTCCATAGAGCATCTGGTGGGTTTGAACCACCGTCCTTGCCATTAGCAGCCCAACACTCAAGTGGGCTTCACCCCTAACCCCTGTATAAATGAATACTGTTTCTGATAGAGCCAAGTTTTAGTACATTTGAATAAGAATCATATGAGAGGAAGATAAGTAATCTTTTGAGTTATATATATTTTTTACCTATGACCTTTTTATCCCTGTTCTATAACTATGTAATTAACTTTTTAGTTTGATGCTAATCAGCGACAACAGTGGTTCTCAGCCTTCTTAAGACCGCGGCCCTTTAGTATAGTTCCTCATGTGGTGGTGACCCCCCAACCCTAAGATTATTTTCGTTGCTACTTCATAACTGTAATTTTGCTACTGTTATAAATCGGGCAACCCCTGTGAAAGGGTCATTCAACTCCCAGAGGGGTCGCCACCCACTGGTTGAGAACCGCTGATCTACAGGCATTCCTTGCAGATATTGTGGGTTTGCCTCCAGACCACCACAGGAAAAGCAGGTGTCGAGATAAAGGAAGTCACACAAGTGTTTTCGTTTCCCAGTGCATGTGAAGTTGTGTATGTGTATCTGCAAAGTATAAGCAAACAGAGCACAAAAAGATATGCCTGCAAAATATTTTGCATTTTACAGAGCATATTTTACCAGAGATTTTAGAAAACATAAAATTTATCTCTTGAATTTTATCTGGAATATTTGTTACGATGACTCAAATTGTTTGCTTAGTCACACAGTGATGTCAATAGATGCATGTGCACCCTTAAAAGTTCTTTAAAATCTACATCTATTTTTCCTTCTTCTCTGAGATTAATAGGAAAAGCTGTGTTTCCTAAAACTTGTGACATTTGTGAACCCTTTACTGGCAACTTTTCCCCTGTTTGTTTGTTGTTTATTGTTGTTGTTTTGGTCCCTTCCAGGTGCTGCTACCATTTATGTTCGTTATAAGCAAGTTCATGCTCTGAATCCTGAAGAGAATCGCATCATCAGATTAAACAAGGCTGGTCTTGTCCTGGGATTCCTGAGTTGCTTAGGACTTTGTGTTGTGGCAAACTTTCAGGTGTGTTTTAGCCCAGCAGAGAGATTTTCCTGAAGTATATCAATATATTAAGGAGCACTGGTGGCACTGTCAGTTAAGCATTAGACTGCTTCCTGCAGTGTTGGCATTCAAACCCACCAGCCACTCAGCTGAAAGATGAGGCTCTCTGCTCCCAGAAAAAATTTACAGCCTTAGCAACCCTCCATCGGGTCCCTGTACAGCCTCAGAAGCCCAGGAGAGGGTCTCTGAGAGTCAGAATCGACTCAGTAGTGGTGAGTTGGCTTGGGGCTTGGGTTTAACTATGTGAAACATAGGAACTGCAAACAGTCTCTTCCCATGCTGCTTGATGCGTCTTGCCTTTAATGAAATAGGGTCCATGACCTTTAACTTACTAACCTTTAAAAAGAACATTCACTATTAGAAAAAAAAGTTCTCGTTAATAATATTCTAAACAATTAATCAATCTTCCTTGTTTGTAGACGCCGCAGGACAATTTTTATTCAACTCTTTATTACAACTTCATTGGGGATTACAGCAAGACCAAACTGGAAATATTGCTAGAGATTTTAAGTGATGTAATTTTAGATTTAACCATGTTTCCTTTTTCTGAAATGTGCTTACCAAGGTATCCACACTCCCTTAGCCATTTGATATAGCTGCTTAGATCACCGGCATTGATTGCCTGCCCTCCGAAGTGCCCAGCCCCATGTACTCATAGGAGGAAGTCAAGGCATAGCCTGTACTCCTCTCCCTTTTGTCAAATCATTTTGACTTTAAATTAGTAGTCAAGCCCGAGTTGGGTAAAATCGAGGGGAGCCATACCCTACATCAGGTGGAACGTTGTCAGAGAGAGAAAACTTAAGTATTGTCCACGAAGCTGAGCACTGGACAAGTGCCCAGCCTGCGTCCTGGGCGGGGCCTGGTGACTGGAGAGCGAGAAGGCCGGCGAGCTCCAGCTGCCACGTTGCCGCGCCTCTCTGACCTGCTCTCAGACGCTGGCTGCCATTTGGTGCTTTCTGATTAATCTCCCGGGATCCTTTAGAGTTGCAGTGTAGACATGAATGACCTCTCTAGACATCTGATAACATTCAACATACAAATATACCCAGACAGATAATAACACCCACTACAGAACACATATGAGAGGCTTCCAAAAGTCCACGGAAAAGTGGAATTAAAAGATCATGGAATGGCACCTAACCACACCCCCCCATCCATGGGGAAGAACAACAGAAACCAGAGGGGAAGGGAGACAGCGGTCGGTG